TAACCTTCTCCTGACAAGCTTCTAGTTCCACTTTCAGGCCTCAGTTTAAACGTCATTTCCACTGGGAAGCCTTGCCTGACTCCTCACTTCTGGAGTGGCAGCTCCTCTAAATGGCTCCAAAGCAAACACAAAGTACTTTATCCCCAGAGTTACACGTGTGTCCCATCCACCAGGCCTGAGCTCTTTGAGGGCAGGGATTTTGTCTGTCTACTTCACAGCTAAATCCCTAGCACTAGGCATGGTACCTGGTTCGTGTGTGTGTGTGTGTGTGTGTGTGTGTGTGTGTGAGAGAGAGAGAGAGAGAGAGATGCGAGGAAGCCAGTGAAGAGACAGATGCAATGAGAACCCTGGGGAAGGAGGCACAGATAATTACAGAAGTAGGTCTTGGCAGACTGCACAGAAGTTATAGCCACTAGTGAAATGTGAAGGACTGGATCATGTAGTTTTGTCGTTTTTTTTAAATTTTATTTTATGAAAGTGGCATCACGTCATATCTATTTGCAAAATGCCCTTTTCCCCTATGATTATAGCTTGGTCATCTTTCCTCTTTTGTACTTCAGATTGTGATGGTTAATTTTATGTGTCAACTTGGCTAGGCTATGGTGCCCAGTTCTTTGGTCAAACACTAATCTAGAAGTTGCTGTGAAGATACCGTGTAGAAGTGATTAACAATTATGATCAGCTGACTTTAAAGTTTTTTCTCAATGATGTGGGTGGGCATGTAGGGAAGGAAAAATTCTTCTCTACCTTCTTAGGGTGTCTGGCCTGCCTAAGAATTAAACTGACATAAGCCAGATTAACAGAAGAAAATCATACACATTTTATTAAACTTTACATGTACATGGGGACTTTTACAAGAGAATGACGTTCCAAGGAAGTGACCAGAGCTGAAAGCTTTTATACCCTTTAGGCAAAGAAATGATAAATTTGTGAAAAAATGACAAGACAAAGGGGTTTGGCCTAAGGGCAGTAATTGTGGGGAAGTGACTAGAAGCTGTATATGGGGGCAGAGGGGTGCAAAACTAGTGGAAGATGAGGGTTATTTTAGCAGGTTTGTTCACACAGATCCATTTCCTTGTTGACTCCCAGTCTCTGGTGACAAGCATGTATTTCTCTTCCTGGTACAGGGAGAGCACATCTCTCATGGGAAATATCATGACCTGCTTTTAGGTAGAAAGGGCAGATCAGAAAGCTCTTCCTGGATCTGCTGATTCTCAAATGCCTTCAGCTCAAAATAATCAATATGCCAAAGCAGCACATTTTGAGACGGCCTGTCCTCAACCCCTTCAGCCTCTTCTGTCAGCTGAAGGTCTTAAGAGCAAAACTGAGGTTTCCCTGGGAAGCAGGAATTCTGCCTCAAGACTGTAACATAGGGGCTTCCCTGGTGGCACAGTGGTTGAGAATCTACCTGCCAATGCAGGAGACACGGGTTTGAGCCCTGGTCTGGGAGTATCCCGCATGCCGCGGAGCAACTAGGCCCGTGAGCCACAACTACTGAGCCTGCATGTCTGGAGCCTGTGCTCCGCAACAAGAGAGGCCGCGACAGTGAGAGGCCCACGCACCGCAATGAGGAGCGGCCCCTGCTCGCCGCAACTAGAGAAAGCCCTCGCACAGAAACGAAGACCCAACACAGCTATAAATAAATAAATTTATTAAAAAAAAAAACAACAAAAAAAACGACTGTAACATAGGTGTGTGTGTGTCCCCTATCGGCTCTGTTTCTCTGGAGAACCCTGACTGATACACAGACCCACCTTATAGACCCACCACCATTTCCTACCTTCCCTCTATATCTTGCTCATTTGTATTCTCTTCCTCAGTTAAAAAAAAAAAAAAAAAAAAAGCGATTAGATTCCATTTCATGAAAGCGAAGGCAGTGAGTAAAGAACATGTTAATTCTCATCAGGTTAAAAAGAAACAAAAGACCTTAGGGTGCTAGCTGATATATTTCTTTCTGTCTGCGTTTGTCTATTTTGATGTTAAGAATGCCTTTGTATAAAACTATTTAAGGTATTTAGTTCCATATTCATAAAAGACTGGAGTGGGTTTGTAAGTCCCAACTTATTTAAATTGCGGCACAACAAATCAACTATCTCCCTACAGGTGGACATTTAAATTGCTCTCATCTTTTTGCCATTACAAGCAATACTTAATTTTTAAAAGACTAATCTAGGCTGTTTTATACATACCAAAGTGTAGGACTACTGGGCCAGAGGGGCTGTCCATTTAAACAGAACTGCCAAATTGCCTTCCCAGAAGGCTGTCTCCACCATCTGTCTCACCAGCAGAGGGAACGGGGTCATTTCCCCGCATTGTTAGCACATTTGATATTTTCAGTCTTCATTGTACCTTGCCAATCTGATAAGTGAAAAGTGATGTTATTTTATTTACATTTCCCTGATCATCAGGGAGTCTAACCATCTTTTCACATGTTTATTGACTGTTTGTGTTTTCTTTTCTGCAAATGGCAGTTTTATATCCTTAGTGTATTTCTCTAGGATAGTTTCCTTTTCCTCTCAATATGCATGATTCTTGATGTTCATTTTTTGTTATAGGTTACAAATATTTTCTCCTAAGCTATCAACTGTCTTTTAACTATGTGGTGTATTGTTTTTACTTTGATATATTCACATCTGTCTTTCCTTTATATCTTATGCTTTGTGTCTTTTGGTCCCGTTTAAGGTCGTAAATATATTCTTCTTTATCTCTTTGCCATACCTTTACAGTTTTATTATTTATGTTTAATTCTGGAATGCATCTGCAACATGTTTGCAGATCTATGTTTTGGGTTGTTGTTTATTTTTTCCCCAAAATGACTAGCTTATTATCCAAACACCAGTCATTCATGTCCCACTGGTTTGAAACACCATGTTTTCTTCTTATTTTTAAAGAGTATCTATTAAAATGCTTCTTTCCTTTTGATGTGTCAATGGGTCTGCCCCCCAAGCTGCTGAAGCTCATCTGCCCAAAATACAATAGAAACCAGTGAATGGTCCCACCTTCCCCAAGTGGGGCCAGACCTGTAGAGGGTACTTTGGGGGCTGCTGGAAAATGGAAAGAACAACTGGATTTCTCCTGAGATAGACAAAAGCATCTAAACTGGGAAGGCAATCTGGAGGGAATGAGAAACCAAGAGGAAAGGGATTCTCAGATCACTTCGGCCAGAGAGCCCAACTTCTTTCTGAGGGTCTTTCCAGACCCTGCCTATGAAAGCACTGGTCACCCAGGCACCATTGCACCAATGCTCTCAAATCTTTGATATGTAGCCACTGAGAATGGAATGCGAGTCCCATACTCTTCCCTAGTTTCCCGTTCTTAGATTTGAGGTGCAGGGACCAAGAGTCTCAAGCTTGAAGAAGGGAAGTGAGTGAATGGATCTTTCCCTGAGCACCTACCACATTCATCAAAGCAACACAGACCATGATTGAAGGTGCTATCATTCATCTAAAAATCCTTCCCCTCCTGGCTGTGTAGTCCTGAAACCATGTGCTCACCAGATCAATTTATTCCTAAGAAGTGAAGACTTCAGTTTGAATCTTTGAGATATAAGTTTCTGATGAAATGTCTAATGAAGCATTAATAGCCCATTGGTTAGAATCAGAATTTTTCCTAGAAAATCTTTGTGTTTTGTGGAGGAAGATGAAAATTTTTCGATTACGTATTAAATTTTACTGCTTCTATTACTGCTGCCAAGCAGAGGTGGACTGAGGAACACTACTGAATCCTGAATTACATCCAAATTGAAATCCATCTTTGGGTGGTATGAACCACCTTGTCCAAAGCTAAAGTGGGAAAGGAATGTTTCTTCCTATGGTTTCTCCTAGCCCCCACCTCCCCACCACTGCCTTTTGCTTTCATCTAATGCATTATTTAATGGATTTTCTTTTTCTTTTAATTAATTAGTTTATTTATTTTATTATTTTGGGCTGCACTGGGTCTTTGTGGCTGCCCTCAGGCTTTCTCCAGTTGCGGTGAGCGGGGGCTACTCTTCGTTGCGCTGCGCGGGCTTCTCATTGCGGTGTCTTCTCTTGTTGTGGAGCACGGGCTCTAGAGCGCAGACTCAGTAGTTGTGGTGCATGGGCTTAGTTGCTCCGCGGCATGTGGGATCTTCCTGGACCAGGTCTCTAACCTGTGTCCCCTACATTGGCAGGTGGATTCTTAACCTCTGTGCCACCAGGGAAGTCCCTGGATTTTCTAATATTGAATCATTCTTGAATTTTGGAGTTAAGCCTGATTTTGTCCTGATGTATCTTTGTTTTAAATATTTCTGGATTTGTTTGTGAATATTTCATTAGGTGTTTTTGGCCTCCAGGTCCATAAACATATAGAGCAACTCCTGGGAAAGCAATCTGAGATTTCTGATACATATGCCACCCCGTCCCAATCTAGACATAATTTGGACAAATGAAGGGTCATTAACCAGTGCACTCTGGTTAGGGCCTAGGATAGATTAAAATATTTCCTGAAAATATTAAAAAGGAAAAGTCAAGAGGTTGAGAAACGTAGGTATTAATTTTTAAATATTAATTCCAATTAGCATGTGGCTTTGTCAATAGGTGACCACATTTTTCTATTCAAATAGTTGTTGGTTATCCAAATAATTGCTCCTAATGAAGGCTTGATCCACAATTTTAGAATTTAATACCCATGAGATTTCTAACTCAAAACCTATCCACAGTAAGACAAAAACTTCTAAGAAATTAAGGCAGCCGTTTATATATTTAAATATATATAATGTATATATTTATATACCTTGAATATATATAAGTATATATGATAAGTATATATACATAAAATATACATATCTATTTTATAAGAAAGGAAACTAATCGCTATGGGACTCAGACACTAGGTTCAAATTCTAAACAAACCAAGACGAACTCTTAACTGATCTCCGTACCTTTGGCCCACAGGCGGATAGCTGCTGATAACTTGGGCTGATAGACTTAGAACCACAACCCCATTTGCCACTGTTCATGACAGAAGACAAACCAAAGTTGTTCTTTTCACACGTGCGTTTTATTTTTAGCCCTTTACACTGACCACAGACTCACCTCTGGCTTCTAGACTTATCGTGAGCCCTTGGCTTCTGCTCCTCTGGATGTGATTTGGTGGATTTGCCTTTTGTGTCTCATCACCAGCATTCACTCACCTATCATTCATCTAGGGTCCTTAACAAGGTACAACACAAGGAGAAGAGGGCTTGAGGGGTCAGACTCACTACCTGCCTGCCTGGTTTTTCTGTACACAGGTGAGATATTCCTGCACATCATCCGGGGACCCTAGAATGAGGGGGACTCGTTGGTGAATGGCCTCAGGCTTCACGTCCAGCACAGGCTGGGTGCCTGTGGTCGCCATGCCTCCTGCCTGCTCGATGATGTAGGCCACAGGATTGCACTCATACAAGAGCCGGAGCTGCAGAGGAACAGAGTCAGGTGGACAAGTGTTGCAAGTTGTCAAAATTCCCACGCCATGCCCCTAAAGTTCCACGAGGAATTCCAATTACTCAACTGCTGTCTCATTAGTGCGAGTGCATTTGCGCATCTCAGCGGAGCTGGCTGCCCCCGAGCCCTACACTCTCCAGGAGGCTGGGTGCCTCAGCTGATACTTATCACATATGCCTTTGGGGACACCTCTGGTCGACATCTTTATGCTTATGAAAGCTTGGCCTTTATGCTTATGAAAGCTTGGCCTTCTCACTTGGGAGTATGAGATCTAGGTACTCATTTCTCCCTGGTTCCGCAATGAGGTAAACTGATTCTGCAGGGCCCGGTTAGGAGCCTCTATATGCCAGGCCTTATGGCCAGTCAAGGGTCTAGCTTGGATGGGATCGGAAGGTCACCTCGGGAGTGCTGGCCAGTCTCTCAAGATAACCACGCTGTCCGGCATCGTGGGGAGGAACATCTCAAGTGTCGACTTGGCCGAACAGTTTGCTGGTGTTTAAATGGCCTTTCCTTTTGGCCCCTTAGACTAAGTTAGTTAACTCTCTCATTGCATGCTCTCCCACAGAATCCTGTACTTCCCCTTTCATAACAGTCCAGACTCTGAAGTTTGTTTAACATCTGCCTTCCTCATTGGACGCCCTCCCTTGAGGGCAGGGGAGGGGTCTGTCAGGTTGGTCTTCGTGGCATCTCCATTCCTAGTACTGCCTGACATGTAGAGAGCGTCCAAACAAGGCTACCGTGTACACTGCACAGGGGCTCCCAGTGGAGGGCAGAAATGGGGGTGGGGGAAATCAGCCTGCACCTTTGTTTGCCAGGCCAGGTACATGTGTCCAGGGCCGAGCCTGTTCTGAGAAAGAAATGCCTTTCTAAAAGGCACTGTGAGAACTAGCGGGTGTCTGTCCTGTGTCCAGTTAGAATATGGTGAATTGACTTGAAATGGGCTGACTGAATGTCCTTTCTGGGTCTACTTCTGTCATTATGTTCTGACTCCCTCCCCATCCCCTGACCCGCAGCGGACACACACACACATCACATTAGATTCAGGGTGACATTCTAGCGGCACGCTCTGACTCAGTATCATGCTATCTTCTCCTTCCTTCCCCCATAGGTACAAAATCTGTAGTTAAAAAAATTTTCTCCTTTTCTGCAATGAGCTTTCAAAGTGGTTGATCTAGCTCTGTGCAGCCTTTTTCTTTCCATTCTTTTCTTGAAATGCGTTTGTTAAAACTACTTGGAGAAAACAGTTATATCTTGTGCTGATTTTTAAATTATTGTTATTTCAAAGAGAGGAACAAAATATCTCCAATCTGGGTTGGAGAGCCACGCATCGAGGAGAAAGTAAATTAAGACTGTAGAGGGCATTTGTTGCCATTTTGGGAAAACAGCATACCATGCTTTTGTTTGTATCATGTTGATTCAGATACAATAAATAAATAAGTAAACAAATAAATAAGCACAGCATTCTCGCATAAAGCTTGTCTCGGAGGCAAGGTTTGTTCTGACCTTAAAATGCCATTGTTGTAGTAAACGCATCTTAAAACACAATGTCCGGATCTTCATGGTACCTTGACCTGCAGGCCATGCAATCTATTTTTTTTCCACGATTAAAATCCACACTGCTCTACAGAGACAAGCGCACATAGGAGGAGAACCCAACCACGCACCCACACACACAGATGTGGTCACAGAGACCTTGAGAGCTAAAACATGGAGGTCAGAAACCAATGATACTTTCAATGTGGTGCTATGAATATAGATCTATATATGCAATTATACATGCTTATGGAAATGTTTTTGTAATTATATGTGGATATTTTAAGACTCATTTTAAATCATCTTAATAATTAGTAATAACTAGTCTTAATGTTCTCCCCGTTGGAAATGCGTACGTGACAAGAGCGGTTCTACTTAAGAATATCCACATTAAAAAAAAAAAAAAAAAAATAGTGGGGCTTCCCTGGTGGCACAGTGGTTGAGAGTCCGCCTGCCGATGCAGGGGACACGGGTTCGTGCCCCGGTCCGGGAAGATCCCACCTGCCGCGGAGCGGCTGGGCCCGTGAGCCATGGCCGCTGAGCCTGCGCATCCGGAGCCCCAAAACGGGAAGGGCAAAAAAGAGGAGGGGCCCCGGCCCAAAAAAAAAAAAAAAAAAAAAAAAAAAGTAAGGGACTTCCCTGGTGGTGCAGTGGTTAAGACTCCATGCTTCCACTGCAGGGGGCGTGGGTTCAATCCCTGGTCGAGGAACTAAGATCCTGCATGCCGCGCAGCGCGGCCAAAAAAGAATTTCCACATCTTCTACTCTATCTCACTTAATACTCCGTAACACTTTTCTTTCCTCCAGCACCTTTTGTGCAGATTTATCTGTGACTCTTAGTTCAACCAGCTAATATAGGTGAGCTAAACACTCCCGTGAAAAAAAATGTCTGACATACCAATCTGCATATTAAAATCTCCTCTCTGGTCTCATGTGCTGTGTTAGATTTCTTACCGTGGCTTTGAATCTGGCATTCCAATAATTCAGGTCGCCCGTGCTGAGAGACATATATACGTGTGGCTACTTGTTAGTGTGTCAGAGAATACGACAGGGCTTTGTCTGGATTTGTCTACCCACCTATGATTCTGTGACTGGCTAAAAATCAGGCACCTTGCCATGGCGGTGTCTATTCAAAACAGATGCATTGGGACCATAAAGTTGCAGTGAGGCCTTCCAGGAGCTACCTTTCCAGAAATATTGAATGAGTTCTGAGCAGAACTGCTTAGTCTGGACTTTGGGAACTCTCTATGGAATTTTTGGGTAGACCTCAGATCATCGTGAACCCCCTGAAAACATATGTAATGTGTATGTTTACGTGTAATTTTCTTCTGGGAAGTGGGTCCATAGGTTTCATTAAATTCTCAAAAGGGTCTATGATGCAAAATCAGTTGCTGATGAAGCTAAAAGATAGACACAGCATTGGGAAAGTGGGAGATGAACACAGTTGACTCACAGTGAATTGAGGGGCGTGAGGCCCGCGGAAGTGAAGGCCAGTGACAATCACCAATAACAACAACTTCAGCCACGTCCTTCTCCACAGCCTCAGAATTCACTACTGGGATAGAGACTTCGTTTCTCTTCCACCTGCCCACTCGCAGACAGACATGCCAAGGACAGGGCAGTAGCCAAAAAGCAGGCATGATGAGAAAGCGAATTCTGACTGGTTCCCTGAACGGGTTCAGCCAGCAGACAAAGGAGAGTTACCTTGCCCTTTGGATTTTTCTGGTTCGCTGGGTACAGGAAGATCCCTCCATAGACCAGGGTGCGGTGCACGTCAGCCACCATGGAGCCCACATACCTGGCCCCATAGGGAGCACTGCCATCCTAGAAGGCAGAGAGGAAAGAGACAAGATGCAGTGAGCTTAGCAATTACTCAGCACCTGCTTCAGGTCACACATCCAGCTGGTGCGACCTCTGCATTCCAGGGCCTCCTTCTTCCACCCACTAGCTTAGGAATTGAAAATATGATATAACTGAGCATTCCATTCATTAGGAGCCCCCAAACCTCAACTAGTGATTGGACTCATTAAATGTTGGACTACTTAAAGTGAGAGACAATATGTGTCCTAAGACAGAAGCTAACAAGAAAAAAAAAATTTTTTTTAAAGAAAGAAAAAGGAAGTACAGACAAACGCCAACTGTTTGGCTGTTCCTTGAATCTCCTCCTTGGCCCCCAGAGTTCAGAGCACTTTTCAGCTTTCTGAAAACCAGATTCCCTTGAACCATGACAACTTTTGCACTTAGTGTAAGCAGTGTTTATTCACTGGCAAAATTATTTTAAGGAGCCTTAGAAATCGTGCAAAGAAATACAACAACTTCCTTATAAACCTCAATTTCATTAGTCATGTAATGAAAAGAATATTTGTTCTGAAAAGAACAAAGTTCATCATTTCCCTCAAGTAGGGCATGTCAGGTAAGGCACGACTATCTGATGAAATGGTTTGGGCAGGTTTGCTTTTCCTCATTCAGCGACCCATCTGAGACTTCTGTGTCTAATCTAATAATTCTCTGACAGTGCAGGGAAACACCAAACTTCCTCAGGGCAGATATCCAGTGTTTTGTGTGGCATCAGCCATAATAAAATGCATTGATTTCATAAGCATTTATATTCATAAGCCCCTCCATCAGTCTGTGACGCCCTTGGGGAAAAGACTTCCTGCTTGATCCTGGCATTCCCTGAGCCCAGCCTGGTGTGAGGCAAAAAGTACGTGCTGGGAAAATACCTACTGAATTTCATTTACGTGAGATTTCTTGAAAGCACTACTCAGGTTGTTACCTTAAAAATTACATGGGAGATTTTGCCTCCTCCATTTTATTCACATAATGATATTAAGTATATAAGAACACCTTCAGATGCCAATTAAGAGACTTCTCAGTAGGTAAAAGAACACAGGTCTGAATTAGACCAATGGCCATAAGGATGAAGAAAATGGACTAACTTGAGAGATATTTAGGAAATAGAGTTGATAACACCAAGTGAATGATTAGACATGGGCATAAGAAAGAGGTAATCCTCTCGACTCATTCCCCGAATGTTGTTGGGAATGAGCATGATGGTTGAGGCAGTATGGATCAAGAGAAGAAGAACCAGGAAGGAGCAGAATTGGGGGTGTATGTTTAGTGGGGGGTGGGGGATAGGAGGGTCAGAGTTGGACATGTGGAGTTCTAGGTGTCTGAGGAGCAAGCAGATCTGAATTCCATCAGAAGAGACTGGATGAGTTCACCCTGGCAGGATACCAAGTGTGAGCTGAGAGGTTTGTTTGGAATAAAGTCCTGTACCAAGCTTGAAGGGCAGGCAGAAGTGTGGAAGCCAGTAAAAGAGGCTAAGAAGGTGATTAGGAAGGTGGATGTAAAACCAGACACAAGGCCAAGGAAGGGGTAAACACCCCTAAATGCCATGGAAAGGTCAGGTAACATAAGGTGGAAACATGACGCTGGATTTGGCAACACAGATAAAAGAGGATTATAAAGGGCAGACAATGGAGCAAAGAGGGTTAAAGAGGGAATGACAGGAAAGAAAAACTTTAAAAAAAAAAAAAAGGAAACATCCTTCCAACTTCTGGGTATTTATCCTAAAAAACTAGGAAATAGAATCTCAAAGAGATATCTCCAGACCCATGTTCACTGCAGCATTATTCACAATAGCCAAGAAGTGGAAGCAACCTGAGTGTCCATTGACAGACAGGTGGATAAGAAAATGTGGTATATACACACAGTGGAATATTATTCAGACTTGAAAAAGAAGGAAATCCTGTCACTTGTTACAACATGGATGAACCTTGAGGACATTATGCTAAGTGAAATGAGCCAGTCACAAAAAGACAAACACTACATGATTCCACTTACCTGAGGTATCTAAAGTAATCCAGCACATAGAAACACATAGGAGAATGTGGTTACTAGGGATGGGGGAGGGGAGGAGGAAATGGGGAATTGTTGTTCAATGGATGTAGAATTCCAGCTTTACAAGATGAAAAAAAGCCCTAGAGATCTGTTGCGCAACAGAAGGCTCAGATTTTAATCCTGGCTCTACCAGTTAAATAAGGTCATCTTTACTCAAGTTACTGAATAAGGAAGAACAAATCTGACTCCATATTGGATCTGTTTATTTTACTTTAACCTTTGTATTCTATTGCTTTTGCTACAAATTAAGAATGCTGCCTCTAGGCTGAAATATACAGGACAGCCCATTCTCAAGGCTCTGACCTTCAAAGGTCGCTTTTCCATTCATATAGAGAGAAAAAGTTGCAGAACAGAGAATAACATTTGTCTTGTTGTAGATTTACAGGAACATCCTGACTTGACCTATGTTGACAGCTGCAAGAACAAAGGATTCTGACACCAAGAAGTCTGCAACAACCAATCACACCCCCTTCCCTTTTAGTATAAAAGAAGCCTGAATTCTAACTCAGGTAAGGTGGTTCTTTGGGACACTAGTCCACCGTCTTCTTGGTCTGCTGGCTTTCCCAATAAAGTCGCTATTTTTTGCCCCAGTAACTCATCTCTCTATTAGCCTCTATTGCCATGCAGCAAGCAAGAAGAGCTTGAACTCGGTAACATTACTTGACTGTTCAGGGCCTCAATTTCCCCATATGTAAAATGGGGACTGTGGTATTAACACTTATCTTGTAGTCTGTTGGAGAATTGAATGAGTTAGTACACAACAAGCACTAGGAACAGTGTCTGACACAGTATACACTAGCTACTATTATCATGACTAATAGAAGAGTGCAGTCAGGGATAGGAGAAGCTGCTACTGTCAGGAGACAAACAGCAAAGGAGGACTGCTCCTTCCACAATGGCGGAGGGTAAGGAAAAGTGCCTGGACCACTTCCCATCTCCCAGGGGTGCGGTGTGTGGGAGAATTGCAGCCGGAACACAAAGATCCTGCAGGGAAGCAATGGCCTCAGGAAGAATGACGTGTGGGAGGAGCACTGCCTGCTCACACTCGAGAGGGGCTTCCCGAGGGCAAAAGTACAGGAGAGGGGGCTTCCCTGGTGGCGCAGTGGTTGAGAGTCCGCCTGCCATTGCAGGGGACACAGGTTCGTGCCCCGGTCTGGGAAGATCCCACATGCTGCGGAGCAGCTGGGCCCGTGAGCCGTGGCCGCTGAGCCCGCGCGTCCGGAGCCTGTGCTCCGCAACGGGAGAGGCCAGAGCAGTGAGAGGCCCACGTACCGCAAAAAAAAAAAAAAAAAATTATGTTTTTTTTTCATACGAGTTTGGTTTTTCAGTGGTAAAATATGTATCTTCCTTTATGGGTTCTAGAAGAGACGCATTTTAGTTTAGAATGGGAACCACCGCACCGTGAAATCATCTCCAAGATTGGGAACTTGTAAATAATTTTGACTTTATCAACCTCACAATTCATATCCTGTTACTTCTGCCCTTAAGATGTCTAACAGGTTTGTGCATGACAGCAAAGGAGAGGTACAGGAGACTGCACTTCTAAGAATTTTGCTTAAAGAACAAACAGAACAGAGAAAGAAGAAAACTCTCTAAAGCTTCTGTTTGAGGCAGCAGAGGCAGGTCCCAGCACCCTGTTAACTAACTGCTCTGCACCCTCTGGAATCCTGAGCTTTTTCGCCGTGGAGCTCGTGAAGGGCTTCCAGGGGCAGCCAGGCTGGCACATCACACCACTGCTTTTCCAGCCACTTCCAGTGTAGGTCAGACTTCACATTCTTGATCTGAAAATGCTCTGACTCCTTCCCACACCTGTCTTAAAAGCGCTCTTTGTACGGCAGACATACCTACTGGATTGTTGGGGCTATATTTTTTGTTTGTTTTTTTGTTTTGTTGTTTTGTTCTTTTTTTGCAGTACGCGGGCCTCTCACTGTTGTGGCCTCTCCCGTTGCGGAGCCCAGGCTCCGGATGCACAGGCTCAGCGGCCATGGCTCACAGGCGCAGCCGCTCCGCAGCATGTGGGATCTTCCCGGACCAGGGCACGAACCCGTGTCCCCTGCACCGGCAGGCGGACTCTCAACCACTGTGCCACCAGGGAAGCCCGGTTTGGGCTATATTAATAGCCACATGAAGTCCAGGACTCAGTGATCACACTGAGAGCCAAAGACCTTCCTAAAACTTGGAGTAAACACCAGGCCCTGATATTAGAGCATATGAATGGTACTTTTAAATGTAATTATTCCACCTAAATACGATTAAGTGACCAGAATCAGCACAGGTGGTAGCTTAGCAAAAAATGACAGGGGAGATGCTCTGACCTGAAACTCTGGATTTTGAAATATTGGTCTCTCCCTTCTTCATAGACAATTTCTCCTGGAAAAACTCACCTGGAGAGTATTATCTATACTACGTAAATTTTAGCTATGAAAGACTTTGATTGTTTATGAAGAAAGTCAGAGTTTGCCATTCTCATACGGTCCAGAGCCATAAACAGGGACATCAACCTCTTTCAGCCAGGCCCCGACAGCCATCCCCAAAACAGGAACCCACTGAGACAGCATTCCCCCTGCTTCTGCCTTAGCTTTCTTCACTCACCTCGGGAAATTTCTTTTTCTGCACATATTCTGTGGTAGCAGCATCAAAATACTTGGCATAGCCCTCATTGAGGCTGTAAACCTTTCCTTTGTTTTTAATCTTGACATCTTTTTCCACCAGGACAAATTCACCAAGAGCCTAGAAAGGTGAAAAGAAACACCAGGAAGAAGAGAGATACCAGGAAACAGAAGCCAACAGCACACACCAACAACCAGAGAACGGTAGATGTGGGTCTGCTAAAAGAACCCTGGGGTTTGCCGGGTCCTCTGCGGCCTGCCTAGTGATGTTTTTATGAGTTGTATAAAGAACAGTGACCATATGGAGCCTGCACAGGCAGCGTCAAGCAGTGATATAACAAGAAATAAAATAATTCAAAGGAAAAAGAGGGAAAATTTCCTTTGTAACTTTCACCGTAGCTAGGTTACTCATTTGTAAAGAGCCTAGCCTTATTTATCCCCCAAGTTCTCACCCCTGGTTAATTCCTAATGTTTTCAGGAAGATTTGGGCCATCAGCAATGAGAGGAAAGAGTTACTCAAATGGGATTTGTCATGAAGGTGGGGGGTGCGGTTAGACCACTAATTTGTGGTCCAGTTATTTTTCTTTAATTTATTTATCCTGTATTTCCTATAATGTATTTGCCATCCTCTTCCACATTCAGTTCAGCTTTTTTTTTGGGGGGGGGGGGGCGGGCCGCATGGTGAGGCACGTGGGATCTTAGTTCCCCAACCAGGGATCGAACCTGTGCTCCCTGCATCGGAAGCGTGGAGTCTTAACCACTGGACCGCCAGGGAAGTCCCCAGTTATTTTGTTTATCTTAACGACTCAATGTTGGAAACCATTCAAAGTCCCTTGTATCCCAACTACTCTTATATGGGTAAAGAGAAATCCCTTCAGTCAGAAACTGTATTCGCTCAGCATGAGGAACAGTTGATAAAAAAATGTGTTTTAAATCCTCAGAGTTAGAGTGCCGACAGTCTCATCCCTAGGAATGTAATTAGCTGGCTGCAGATTCACTTTGAAAGGCTGGATGTCTCTCTAAGTCACTAGGAAGAAAATCAGACCCTGGAAATCTAATCAGTTTTGATTCAACTTTGAAGACTCAGAAAATAAAAATCCCCCAAGATGACAGCTCACAGCTAGAAGGCTCCGAATGAACGTCTACAACACTCCCACAAAAAGACAAGGCCACACTGACCGTGTCTGAAATAAGACAAAGATGAGGATACTCAAGTGCAAAAGCAACTCAACACGCCTCTCTTCTGCCAAATGTGGGTGATGAGTGCTTCTTTACCAATGACTCTCTACCCTCACCTTAACTTCCCACCTCCTACATACAAACCGAGATACACCGTCAATCATTGTACCCACATCTAGACAACACCCAATCCAGAACTGACCCGCTCTTTCTCAAATACTCCTTAGAATCATCAAGCAAAACCCCAAGTGCTATAATAAGCCCAAGCCAACCCCCTCTTAGCACGATGCTTCCCGGTTCCTCCAGAGTGCCTTCTCCCTTGCTACTAAACCAGCTTCTTATGTTGCGGGGAAGTACTTGATGGTCTCTGGATCATGAGCTTTAATCGCTTGTTCTGGACATCTGTTGCTTTGGAGCAGCTCAGCATGGAGTTCCACGTCCTAAAAGTACCCGAACTTCCTTTGAATAATTAACTTTTTTCATTGGACGCCAGTCTAAGAAGACTCTAAGCTGGGCCTCCTCTAGCCCAAGGTCAGGCAACTGACTGAGCTTAACAAATTACATACCCCTTCCTGGCATTTGAAACCTGAGGAGAGACACAGCATCAGGGGTGGTGTCCAGACCAGACAGGCTGTCCTGTGGGACCGTTCCTGTGAATCCTGCTTCCCAGACCTGCCCATCTCTAGCCTGGGGCCTGAGCTTTCCCCTTAATACAGTAAGTCCTTTACTTAGTTTAGCCAGGATCCTTTTCTTTTTGTTTATCAGCAAAGATCAAAGACAGATACTGTTGTCTAAATAATGTCTTCTCTTATTTATCCACCCCAGGGGCTGTGGGTGTAGACACTCAGGCCCCTGGAGAGTTGTTCCCTATTGTGGGATGGAGGAACTGGCTGTGGAGCCTTACTCTAACCTGGAAAATAAATGTCTTTTTCTGACTTCGTGATCACTGGCACCCACTGAATATTAAAAAGGCCTCCCACAGGGCTTCCCTGGTGGCGCAGTGGTTGAGAGTCCGCCTGCCGATGCAGGGGACACGGGTTCGTGCCCCAGTCAGGGAAGATCCCACATGCCACGGAGTGGCTGGGCCTGTGAGCCATGGCCGCTGAGCCCGCGTGTCCGGAGCCTGTGCTCCGCAATGGGAGAGGCCACAGCAGTGAGAGGCCCACGTACTGCAAAAAAAAACAAAAAAAAAACGAAAAGGGCCTCCCACAGCTTTGAGAAGAGGGTACCTGATTATCAGGCACCATATCCTTGTCACCCAGAAATGATATCTGCTATTTGTAAACAAATGCCTTGTCATTGTGGCTTATACCACAGTTGAGAGTTTGGTTAACGTGAGGCGGTCCCTCCGCGCCTGAACAAAATGTATGCTCTGACAAAATCAAATTACCAGCCCTGCAAAGTCACAGATCAGGCAGGCTCTTAGTTGCCCCACCAAGGAACTCTGGCCAGTGAGGCCCTGCCTGAGTAAACTGCTGGCCACCCTCTATGGTTTTCTACCTGTGACAATTGCCATAAGCTGCTTCAGCTTGAAGTCAACCTTTCAAACTGGTCCTCAGCTTCATACACTGGGTCCTTGCTCAAGTGTCCTTTGTAGTAGGGCGATGTGATCCAAAGGGCTTTCAGGCTAATAAAGAGAGCTCAGCAGAGAGCATGCTATGGTTCGTCTCTTCTTTCTCATGTGTAATCAAACTGCCTGGCCTACCTGTATCCAGACTGGGCCCCCCTATCGTGACCGAAGGTGGAAAGTATGAGCTGTGTCTCTAGAATCCTTCAGCTGGCCCCCTGAGCCAAAGGCACCTCCCTACTACCCGTAGAACCACTTCAGAATGTTCTTGGAGATATTTTGCTTGTAATCGAGAGAGTTTATTCAAAATTGTCTGGTATAATAGTTAAACACAAAACTGCGTGTGAATTGGTGTGCCAAGGCCACTTCCTCTGTGTGTGCGTTTATGTGTGTTTATGTGTGTGTGTTGTGGGGGGTGGGTAGGGGAGGAGTCCCACACATACTGTTAAGGGAACCACTGACAGAAACCGCCCGCCCTGGTCAGGTACCATAGTAACCACCTGCATGAGTTATCTTACAACAGGAGGTCCTGGTAAGGAACATGGAACTAATAAGCTACCTCCAACCGGAAGAATTCGGTAAAGGTCAAAAGGAGAGAGGAGACCCCAGTCCATATATATATCCTACCAACCTCCCAGAATCCTTCTTGCTGGAATCCTTCTTGGCTGAGCGATGCAGGTACCACCAGGAAGGACCCTCAGTCAGATGACGGGTCAGAGACAACCCCGAAACTAATCCCATTACCATAAAACCCAAGACTGTGAGCCACGTGGCAGAGCAGTTCTCCTGGGTTCCCTTCCCCTGCTGCTCTCCGCCTGGGCGCTCCTTCCCAATAGCCTCTTGCTTTGTGAGCACGTGTCCCCTTGGACAATTCATTTCCAAATGTTAGACAAGAGCCCATTCTTGGGCCCTGGAAGGGCTCCCCCCTCCTGCAACAATTCAACCAAGCAATTCTCAGACACCAGCAGTGTGTCTGAAATTCAACTCAATTCTGACACTATCTACACAGAGATAGCATCAAATTCTACAAGTTAAGGGTTCAGTCCTAGAAGTCCGCCCTCTCCCGAAGTGGGGACACTTCAGACGCCAGTTTCAAACCCAGGTTGTCACCTATAACTCTGACCGGCCATAAATCAGAGGCTCCCAGGATGAAACCAAGCAGGGCCCTGTGGGGCTCCCAGGCATAGAGGCCTTTCTGTCCCCCATTTCTTGCAGGCAAGACTCCAGCCTCCATGACTTTCCCTGAGTTCCAAAGGGCAGATTTGAATAGTTGCTAATTAAGAGAGGAGTAGCCATGAAACCACCTAAGGTAAGATAAAAGGGACTAGAGAAGCTCATCAAGATTAGGAGACCTGACCACCTGAGACCCTGCACAACCCTAATCTTGTCAGCAACCCCACCCTTTTGAAACTTTGCAGAAGAAAGAATGCAAGACTGTTATTGCCTTGATCCTTATCACGTACCTCTGACCATGAGCCCAGACTATATGACCTCTCCCTGTTCCCCAGGGAGCGGGGCACAGTTCTTGAGGCGCTAGCCTACTGTGTTCCCTCTTTGCCTGGCAAAGAAATAAAGCTTTCTTTCTTCTCCACAACTCTGTCTCCATATTTCTGTTCAGTATCAGTATGCAGGAAAGCCAAGATTTTGGCATCAAGGACCTCTTTCTCAGGTCAGTTAATTTGCTACAGTGGCTCCCAGAACTCAAAGAAGCATTTTACTTACTAGATAACTGGTTTCTTATAAAAGTCTATAACTCAGGAACAGCCAAATGGAAGAGATGCACAGGGAAGTGGTGAAGAGCTCCACTGCCCTCTCCGGGTTCACCACTCTCCTCAGTCTCAACCCAGAAGCTCTCTGAACCCAGTCCTTTGGGTTTTTATGGAGGCTTCATTATACAGGCATTATAGGCATGATTGATTAAATCGTTTGCAATTGATTCAACCTCCAGTCCCTTTCCCCTCCTCAGAGGCCAGGGGGTGAGATTGAAAGTCCCAACCCTCTAATCATGTGGTTGGGTCCATTGGAAACCAGCCCCCATCTTCAGGAGCCTTCCAAAAGTCACCTCATTACCATAACAAAAGACCCCTTCAGCACTTAGGAAATTCCAAGGGTTTTGGGAGCTGTGAGCCAGGAACCATGGATGAATAACAAATATATGAGGAATATATTTTGGTCATCTTGAAACCGTGCACCTCAGATTGGACCTTGAACCCCTGTGCCAGAACTCGAACACAGCCTAAACCCAGATTGGGACTTGAACCCACACTGCTAGGACTCAAACCTGGCCAAAACTCAGTCTTCCAACCGAGATCCCACACCTGGTTTCAGGACTTAATGAAGATCATGTTCTTGATGTCTCACCGCAGAAAGAATTCAGTGAGACACAAAGTGATAGGTAAGAAGTGGATTTATTTAGAGAGAAAGACACTCCACAGACAGTGTGGGCCATCTCAAAAGGTGAAAAAGGAACGAGGGTATGGGGCTGTCAGTTTTTATAGGGGTGGGTAATTTCATAGGCTAATGAGTGGGAGGAGTATTCCAGCTATTTCAGGAAGGGGCGGGATTTCCAGGAATTGGGCCACCGCCCACTTTTTTATCCTTATGGTCGGCTTTGGAACTGTCATGGCACCTGTGGGTGTGTCATTTAGCTTGCTGATGTGTTACAGTGAGCATATACTGAGGCTCAAGGTCTAGTGGAAGTCGACTTGTCCGCCATCTTGGACCCATTTGGTTCTAATCAGTTTAAGTCATGTCCTCAGGCTGTGTCATTATTTCAAAGGTCGTGTGCGCCCTGCCCCCTTCCCTCTTGTTTCAATCTGAATGATCAAATTTATTTATTTCTTATAAATCACAATTATCACAGCCTGAGTGTGACTCTTGGCTCCACTGCTACTAGCATGACCTTGGGCAAGTTACCTACCCTCTCTGTGCCTCACTTTCCTCGTCTGAAAATGAGAATAATAGTAGGACCTACCCTCACAGGGCCGCTGTGAGGCTTAAATGCATTAATATATGCAAGTTGCTTAGAACAGATACCTATCCACCACTTAATAAGCACTGTCTAACTGTCAGCTACTATTCTGAGAATATTATTGTAGCAGGGAAGAACTAAATCAGACTCCATGTTCGATCTGTTTCTTTGACTTTAACCTTTGCTTTTTGTTGCTTTTGTTATTATAATCATACATAATGGCCTGCCACAGGGAACCCTTACCCTGTGCCTGAATGTTAAACTAAAGTGCCTTTGCTCAGCTCACTGGGAGATAATCTGACCCTGACCACCTGTGAATGGCTGCAGAAAAGAAGAAATTAACACATCACCTCCCCATGTTGGCCAAGACAGGCAAAACTAATGGCCTCTTTACTTCACTTCCTCACCTCCTCCCAGTCTCTGTTCTATAAATGAAACTAGCATCCAGACCCCAGTAAGATGGTTTTTTGGGGACCCTAAACTGCCATCTTCTTGGTCTGCCGGCTTTCCAAATAAAGTCGCTATTCCTTGCCTCAACACCTTGTCTCCAAATTTATTGGCTGTCGTGCGGCAAGCAGAACAAGCTTGGGCTCAGTAACATTATTTGTGAACTACAGATTCCTGCTTCTATGAAAATGAGAAATTAGAGCATCAGTAAACCGACACAGCAATGCGTTTTGCTCTGATGGGTTTATATGTGAAAAATTTAGACTTTAAAATGTACCAGATGGACTTCCCTGGTGGTGCAGTGGTTAAGAATCTGCCTGCCAATGCAAGTGGACACGGGTTCAAGCCCTGGTCCAGGAAGATCCCACATGCCGCGGAGCAACTAAGCCCGTGCACCACAACTACTAAGCCTGAACTCTAGAGCCTGCAAGCCACAACTACTGAGCCCACGTGACACAACTACTGAAGCCTGTGCGCCTAGAGCCCATGCTCCGCAACAAGAGAAGCCACAGCAATGAGAAGCCCACGCACTGCAGCAAAGAGCAGCCCCCACTCGCCACAACTAGAGAAAGCCCACATGCAGCAACGAAGACCCAACGCAGCCAAAAATAAATAAATAAATAATTTTTTAAAATAATAAATAAATAAAATTTTTTAAAAATAAAAGATACCAGATTTCCATACTATAAAGTTTAGTTTTTAAAAAATAAATAAATAAATAAATAAAAATTTTAAAAAACAAAAGATACCAGATTTCCATACTATAAAGTTTAGTTTAACTGTTTTGAAATTTGTAACTCTCTTCCCTCCACTCACATGTGAAATAGGTAAGAAGCGGGCAGGACACAACCTTCAAAAGAATGACAGAGCCATTGAGGACACAACAAAAACTGGTTAGAATCAATTAGGCTCAAGATGGCAGAAGACTTGACTTCCAGTGGACCTTGAGCCTCTTATATACGCTCAATGTAATACAACAGCATATGCTAAATGACACACCTACCAGCACCATAACAGTTCCAAGGGTGACCATAAAAGACCAAAAAGTGGGCAGTGGCCCAATTCCTGGAAATTTCTGCCCCTTCCCCAAAATAGTAGGAATAACCCTCCCACTCGTTAGCCTATGAAATAACTCAGCCCATAAAAAGCTAACCACCCCATATTTCCAGGCCTCTTGCCTTCTGAGATGGCCCACACTCTGTCTGTGGAATATGTTTCTGCTTTGGCCACTCTCACTTTCCAAGACAACCCCATGTCCTGTGGCCATTCTTGCCTTTTGAGGCAGATTCTGTGTATGGAATGTGTATCTCTCTAAGTAAATCCACTTCTCACATATCACTTTGTCTCTCACTGAATTCTTTCTGCGATGAGACATAAAGAACCTGAGACCTGAAACCAGGTGTGTGATCTCAATTAAAAGACAGTTCAAGTCCCAATATGAGTTGTGTGGTTTCACATGCACCAGCATGTAAAATCCTGAAATGTTTGTCTAAAACGTTTGTTTGATCAGTGCATTATCTCCCTCCACTGCCTAGAATGGTATTTGGGGACACACTAGATGCTCAATAAACATTTGTAATTTCAAATTAAGCTGAAATACTGAACAATAGCTTTTGCTTCACAGAATACTGGAAATTTTGAAATGGACTTTGGTCAAAATTATTTGAGGGCTTCCCTGGTGGCACAGTGGTTGAGAGTCCCCCTGCCGATGCAGGAGACATGGGTTCGTGCCCCGGTCCAGGAAGATCCCACATGCCGCGGAGCGGCTGGGCCGGTGAGCCATGGCCGCTGAGCCTGTGCGTCCAGAGCCTGTGCTCCGCAACGGGAGAGGCCACAACAGTGAGAGGCCTGCATACCGCAAAAGAAATATTTGAGTTTTCACAAGACCTGATTATATTTAGCAAAGTAGTTCACAAGTAATAAGCAAAGCATCCAGCATTTAAAAGAGAAATTCTATAAGTTACACATCTTTTCCAAAATTTCCTGAACATTTTTAATGTACATTTGCCATGAAGGCTCACCCTTTATTTTTGAACTCTTGTGTCTTTATCCAATTATGTCGTCCTCCAAACAGCGTTATGCTATCATATTTTTCATCTACCCAGAGGTTGTGCTTCTTCCCCTTCTGCTACTGAGCATTTTCTCATTGTGGAAAGTGTGGAGAACAACACAGAATCTGATAAAATAGCTTTCTACCAGTCACTCCTCCCATTGGGAAGAACATGTGTATTAGGGGAAGTCCTCCAAACTGGTGTCCAGTAGGGTAGCCACTAGTCACATGTGGCTATTTAAGTTAATTAAAAAGAAATAAAATTTAGAAACCCAGTTTCTTAGTCACACTAACCACACAGCAAATGTTCAATGGTCACAGGAAGCTAGTAGCCACCGTAACAGACAGTATAGATTACAGAGCATAGCCATCATCACAGAAAGTTCTAGTGGATGGTGCTACTCTAAAGAATCCATGCTTCTGGCTGGAAATTGGCATCATCGGGATTCTTAAGTCATTGTATTCCCATAAACCAAAGAAGTTGAATGCATTTTTTGGTCATAAATTCCTTAAGAACAGGGCCTGAGTTGCTACAACTGACTTTGTAGAACTCCTCAAATGCCCTCACTTGAACAGAGGTTCTTAAATGTTTTTAGATGATTCTGTTGGCTCTCCAAACTAGACTCTCTGGCCCCAAAAGCAAGTATTAGGAATGACTAGGAAATTATCTCAGAGGACAGGAATTAAAGCACAAAGGCCCATACCGCCTTATTGGGTACCTACTGGGTCAAGCATGAAGAGGTCCACTCCTTGCCCAGTGGAAAGAGCCACCAGTGTTGCACTTCCATAGAGTGCATAGCCTGCGGCTACAATGTTGCGGCCAGGCTGCAGGGCATCCTTTTCAGAAGGCTCATCCTCTGAGGTCTGCAAAAGAGAAAAGGGAAACATTACTGTCTCTGGAGAGAACCCTTTGCCAGAGGCCTGCATTTCAGATCTACTTGAACCACTGAAGGAAACGCAGTTCTAGAATTTCAAGCCACAACAAATGCATCTGGAGGAAACGCGTTGCCATGTTAATGAATGGTTCTAGCTGAACCATTGCAAAGGCCATTCTTGGACTTCTCCCTGTTTTCTGAACGTATTTGTCTCCATCCTGCCAAGAACAGCACCCCAAAGTGCTAAAACTACACCTTCTCTTAAAAATCATAACCCATGCTCCTTGATAATTATAACGACCAAGGTCATTGAGCTCTGATTTTGTGCAGTACCTCATTCTACATACACAACAGCACTCCAAGGTAGATACCATTATGACCTCCATCGTTCAGATGAAGAACTCAGAGGCTGAGCGGCTGGATAACTCACCCAACATCAAGAGGAGCTGGAGTCAACCCAGGCAGCTGGGCCCAGAGCTCGTCACCGTCCATGCGCTGCCGCTTGAAGACACTGCCCCTGTCTGTCCCCAAGTCTACAGTTCTGGACGTTTTCTTGAGGAAGCCTCTCCCTTTGGCTAGCAGCGCTAACAGTGACAATGGGAAAGGGAATTCAGAGAGACAGGGCAAGGCAGGCATGCTGACGAAGGAAGAGCGAATGTCCTTGATGGAGGGGCAGAGCCACACCTGAGACTGGATTTGACAACCTACTTTTCCAGGTATCTCTTGAAGGGCTCGTCCCTCCCTACTTCCTTGTGCTCAAAAAGGCAAGGAGGGACTTCCCTGGTTGTGCAGTGGTTAGGATTCCGGCCTTTCACTGCCGTGGCCCGGGTTCAATCTCTGGTTGGGGAACTGAGATCCCGCAAGCCGTGCGGCGCAGCCAAAAAAAATAATAAAAAATAAAGTTTTACCTTTAAACCTGTAATCTATTTTGAGATGATTTTGGTATAAAGTATAAAGTTTAGGTTGAGTTCTTTTTTTTCCCTCTGTGGATATACAGTTGCTCCAGCATTAATTGTTGAGAAGACTCCTTCTTCCATTGAATTGTTTTCACAACTTTGTCAAAAGCTGTTAGCCATAAATTGTGTGAAACCATTTTTGGGTTCTCTGTTCTGTTCCATTGAACATGTGTCTATCCCTCTGTTAATATCATATAGTCTTAACTTTTAGAATAACCTTATCTATATCTACAAAATATCTTGCCAGGATTTTGAGAGAAATTGAGTCAAACCTATACATATATCAGTTTGGGGAGAATTAACATCCTTTACAATGTTGAGTCTTCCAACCCATGAACATGGTATGTTTCTCCATACAAGACATATTATTTGATTACTTTCATCAGTAATTACTGGAAGAATTACTATTCCTTTTTTTTTTTGAGTAACTGTAAATTGTATCATATTCTAAAGTTTAGTTACCATATGTTTATTGCTGATATATAGAAATCCAATTGATTTTTGTACGTTAATTTTGTATCCTGTGACCTTGCTGAACTCACTTATTAGTTCTAGGAAGCCGGCTTTGGTTTTGGTGTTTGTAGATTCCTTAGGAGTTCTCTACATGGACCGTTCTATTGACAGTTTTTCATTCCAATCTGTATGGTTTTATTTCTTTTTCTGGTCTCACTGCCCCGCCTAGCTCTTTCAGCATTATGTTGAATAACAGTGGTGAGATTGGACATCTTTCCCTTGTTCTTGATTTTAGAGAAAAAGCATTTTGTCTTTCACTGTTAAATATAATGTTAGCTGTTGTCTTTCTATAGATGTTCTTTATCAAGTTGAGGGAAGTTTCCCCTCTATTTCTTGCTTCCTGAGAGTTTTTGTTTGTTTTGTTTTGTTTTATAACTGAGTGTTGAGTTTTGTCAAATGGTTATTCTTCATTGATGGACATGGTTCTATGATTTTTCTTCTTTAAGCTTGTTGATGTGGTGGATTACACTGACTGATTTTTGAATATTGAACCAACTTTCCATCACTGGAGTAAACCCACTTACTCATGGTATATAATTCTTTTTATGCATTGTTGAATTTTATTTGTTAATATTATGTTGAAGATTTTGCATCTATTCATGAGAGATATTGGTCTGTAGTTTTCCTTTCTGCACTGTCTTCATCTGGTTTTGGTATCTGCGTAATGCTGGCTTTAGAAAATAGACTGGGAAGTATTCCTTTCCCTTCTCTTTTCTAGAAGAGATTGAATCATCTTTAATCATTTGGTATAATTCTCCAGTGAAACCATCTGGGCCTAGAGATCTCTCTTTTGAACTCTATTTTCTTAGTAATTATAGGGCTGTTCAAATTATCTGTTTCATACTGAGTGAGTAATAGTAGTGTGCTTTTTAAAGAATTGGTCTACTTCATCTAAGTTATCAAATTTATGTGTGTAGAGTTAGTTACAGTATTATATTATCGTTTGATGTCTCCAAATGTTTTAAAATATCAGAACGACTCTGAGATGAAAAATCTAGTGCATAAACATGTGTTTCTCTGATTATTTTCCCAAGAGAAATTCCAAATAATAAAAGTATTGGGTAAAATATTTTTGATGCATACTGAAAAGTTGCCATGCAGAATCTGATAAACATAAGATAGTATTGTCTTTTCAACTTGGCCAATGTGATAGGTGCAAAAAAAGACATCTGCTTTAATTTCCATTTTGTATAATTAATAAAGTAAATTTATATATATTTATTGACCATTTTTATTTCTTATTTTGTAAGTTGCCTGTTTGATGTCATTGCCTATTTTTCTATCGGGGTACTCATCTTCTTATTTTTAATTTTAATAGCTTTTTATATATGAAAGATATAAATACCTTGTATGTTACAAACATTTTTCCTCAATTGTCATCTGCCTTTTAATTTTATTTATAGTGTCTTTTTTTGGAAAGTTGATTATTTTTCTTTTAATTGAGGTATAAATTACATATAGCAAAGCACACAAATCTTAACTATACAGTTTGATGAATTTTTACATATATATAGTACATACTGATGTAACTACTAAGATCAATTTATAGAATATTTCCAGCCACCTAGCAGTTTCTCTTATACCCTCTTTAGTCACTATCACCTCCCCCAAGGTAACCTCTATTCTGGCCTTTATCATCTGGACATCAAAAGAATAATTAGCTTTGACTGTTTTGGAACTTCTTATAAATGAAATTACAAAGCATGTGTTCTTTTGTATCTCGCTTATGTTTCACAACATATGTCTTTGTGATTTTATCTGTGTTTTTGCACATAGCAATAGTTTGTTCTTTTGCATTGCTATGTAGCTTTTTGTCGTGTGACTATATCACAGTTTATTTATCCATTCTTATGTTGATACGTTTTTTGGTTTTTTTCAGTTTGGGTCTTTTATGAATAATTTGTATACATCTTTTGGCAAACACAGGCACCCATTTATCCTGGGTGCACTCCAGGAGTGGACTTGCTGGGCCATAGTGTATCAGTATATGTTTAATACTAGCAGGTGCTATCAAGTTTTTCTGAAGTGTTTGTATCATTTTCTACTCCCACCGCCAATATATTAGAATTCCAGTTTCTTCATCTACAGTTGCTATGGTTAGTCTTTTTAATTTTAGCCACTCTGGTTGGGGGCGGGTGGTAAATGATGTCTCAGTGCTGTTTCCATGTCCATTTCCCTGATGACTAATGATGTTGAGCATCTCTCATGTGCTTATTAACAAGCTGGGGAAAAAAATCTCTTTTTTGAAGTTCCTGTTCAAGTCTTTTGCCCATTCCTTTGATAAGATTGACAGTATTTTTTATTGATTTGTAGGAGTTCTTTATTTATTCTGTATATGAGTTCTCTGTTGGATGTATGCATTGAAAATTTTTCCATCCATCTGTAGTTGCCTTTTTACTCTCTTAATGTTGTCCTTTTTTTAATTAATTTTTATTAGAGTATAGTTGATTTACAATGTTGCGTTACTTTCTGCTGTACAGCAAAGTGAATCACTTATACATATATCCACTCTTTTTTAGATTCCATTCCCATATCAGTCATTATTGAGTATTGAGTAGAGTTCCCTGTGCTATATAGCAGGTTCTTATTAGTTATCTATTTTATATATAGTAGTGTGTATATGTCAATCCCAATCTCCCAATTTACCCCTCCCTCCCCTTCCCCCTTGGTAACCATAAGTGTGTTTTCTATATCTGTGATCCTATTTCTGTTTTGTAAATAGGTTCATTTGTACCATTATTTTAGATTCCACATATAAGCGATATCATATATTTATTTTTGTCTGACTTACTTCACTCAGTATGACAATCTCTAGGTCCATCCTTAATGTTGTCTTTTGATGAACAAAAGTTCTTAGTTTCAATGAAGCCCAGTTTACTAGCCTTTTCCTTCATGGTTAGTACTTTTTATGTCCTGTTTAAAAAATCTTTACCTTCCCCAAAGGCATGAAGATATTCTCCTGTGGTTTTTTTTCTAGGAGATTTATAGCTTTACTTTTTACAGGGAAGTCTCTGGTCTTTAATTAATCTTTGTGTATGGTGTGAAGTAGGAGTCAAGTTCATTTTTTCTCATACCGATATTCACCTGGACCAGCATCACTTATTGAAGGGATCATCCTGTACAAATTAAACTTCAGTATTGCCTTTTCATAAATCAGGCAATCATTCATGTGTGAGTTTATCTCTAGGATCTCTTTTGTGTTCCACTGGTCTATGTATCCTTATGCCAGTAAAAGAGTAGAATTTTGGTGAGGTTGACTTACCCATAATAATGGGAGACGGGGTCTCCTGACCCTGTAGGGTTGTTAAAACCCACACCCTTGATTTACTCAGATCAACAAGACCAGCTCCTCACATCAGGACAACTCCCTCAGTCCTCCTCTTAAGCCTCTGGTTTTCACTTTTCTGATTCTGGTCCTCCGCCCCTTACCTTGTGTTTATTGCTTGTTCATTTCAATGAGCTCAGCCGCGAATTTAAAGGATGATATATTGTATCCTAAAGGATGATATATTGTATCCAA